CTGTCTCTGTGCACCCTTCGTGCATGCTCGTACACATTTCACTGGGAGTGAGGAGAAGGATTCTCAGCACAGTTTTTGTCGGGCTTTGCATTTGTTGAACACATATTATTGAAATGCTGCCCAAGATGCATCACTATTTCTTGTGTAGAACTTGAATCATCATGTTGCATGATTTGGTAAAATAAAAGAGATTGTGAAAGAGATAACTGTAAACATTCTGTTTGAAAAGATGTGCTCTTTTCAGAAGACCTTTCTGTTAGAGCCAAATAACACAAGAAGAAATATTTCCTTGCTCTCAGAGACATATATATTTATTTCTGCAAAGATTTGTTTTGGATTCTCAGTTCTTCCAGTATCTGCATTCTTTGAAATAATTTTATAGTTCCATGTTGACTTTCTCTGTGCTTTAAGTTTTAATCAAAGGTTCCTTGCTTCTGATGTCGAGGAGTACTGATGTTAGCCTGTTTACATTCCACTATTTTGCCTCTGTATAGGGTGAACATTCAAATGTGGTGCTGGCTTTTTGCTTTTATCTACCAAAGTTGGCACACTCTCTTATTATTGACAGCTCAAAAATATGGTATGCTAGTGGGCAGGGTGCTGTGAATTATTAACTTTTCTTTGCACTTTGACAAATTTAGGTTATCTTTCTAAAGATAAATCATTTCAATGAAGGAACCAAGACAGCAGAATGGTGAATAATTGCAAACTTGTATCAAACAATTTTTAGCTAAATGTGAGCTTAAGGTGTTTCTGAAACACTGTTCTGAGTTACATTTCTTTCATACAACTTGTATTTTTTCATTTCATAGACTAAAGTATGAGGAAAGATTTTTGTGATGTTTCATTTAGATTGTTTCCCCAGTGTTTTTCTACACAGATTGATCAATAAAGCATTAAAGAATGTATATTGCCACTAAAAATGCCCTCTACCTTTATTTTCTTAGAAAAGTGATTTTGCAAAAGCAGTTTATTTTCTTCTTTCAGTAAAGGGCCTGCACTCAACTAATTTATCAGCAGATAAAACGTGCAGGAAACGCATGCTTGCCAGGAAGTTTTTCTATAATCAAAATGGTCAGCAGGACAGAGACCACACTCTTTTTCTCATTAGGTATTAATCTTCTGCCATTTTTGGGGAAAAAAAAAAAAAAAAAAAAAAAACAAACACCAAAAAAAAAAAACCAAACCCACACAACACTGATTAATGTATACAAACATAAATGAATCAGAGGCAGTGTATGCTGCATTTGGTAATAGACGCTTACTTGAGTTAATGTTTAGGTTGTGCTGGAAGTCCCAGCCTGGGCACCAGAAAGGTCTTTGCAATCAGGAAGCACTCTGCGTTCTTGGGTGGCAGACAGCAGGAGCAGTGTCATCCATGGCACAGTTTTCTTTGAAGCAATTAGCAGGAGGACGAAGAATGTTGATTTCAACTGCAGGAGGACAGCCAAACAAAATAGATTTATGCAAGGTACAGTAAGACAAGCAGCAGGTTGAACACAGGTTGGTTAGAAAATACAGTATCGAAAATATTCTTGAGGAATTGCATTGGAGATACAAAGTTACCAGTGACAACAGTAATTATTGACAGAGCCACATACTTACTCTAAAAAGCTCTGAAATGATGTAGAGGCAGGCAGTAGCATTCAGATGCCGGTCGTGCAAACTTCCATCCTGTGGCAGTGCATCTGTTTATCGGGAATTATCTCCTGAATGTAAATGAATTTCAGTCCTTAGTCATTGCACCTGTTGCCAAGAGGTATTTATTCCAATCACTTGCCTAAAGCGCAGGGAGTTATTGCTTGACGTTTTATAGCTCCAAAAAAAGCTGTCGTTTCAAAATCATTTGTTCAGAGAGGAGAAAATGGAGCAAAACAGTTCATTTTACCCTAAGCACTGCTATTTGGCAGTATTCACATTTGCACGGCACAAAGCTGCAATATTGATTTTTCGCTCACAGGGCCTCCCACTAGTTCTTGCTTCGATTGTCAGGGTTGCAAGATGGATTGAATTACACTTTGCTTGTTGATACGCTTATTTTTTCTTTGTTGATAGGAAAGAATTACAAATAAAGCTTCAGCATAAAGATCACAGCAGCTTTGTTAGTGGACTTTAGATTTATTTATTTCATTTAGTTAAAATTCTGTCTGCACCATAGAGATTCCTTAGAGCAGGCTCCCCACCTAACACATGCTGCATTGTTTTGCTTTATTACTTGCTACTTTTGCAATGTAACACTTACATTACAATCTCAGGTGTGTCCTCTGTTGCCTGTGAAGTGATCTAACCTTGCTCTAGTATTTTTAATGTTTCTCCTAATACAGAACTTCTCGTAGATGCCTGCAGGGGAAAAAACTGCAGGATAAAACACATTCATAGTACTTATAGCAGTTGCCGTAGATGATGAAATAAGATTTGCAGGCAGCTGATCTCTGTAACAAACTGCAGAGGTCTTGTATTTGAATTCAAAGTATTTCTTAGCAGAAGTGGAGACTGTGCTGCAGGATCCGCAGTGAGAGTTCTGTGCTTGTCACAGGTAGTTTGGTGTGTGTTTGTCAGCCCTGGCTCCATAACAACCCACACGTCTCACCTGCTTCTGCACACACACTGCATGCATGGCCACCGATACCTCAGCGGCTCTATGCCACGCACCCCCACCCCTCCCCGCCTCCCCTTCTGCAAAAATCCCCTTTGGACAGCTGAAGCTGCTGTTCGCCTCCTTGCTGATCGAAACCCAAAAGGTGGGGGGGAGTTGGGGGCAGGGGGAAGAGCAGCTGGACACCCCTGGTCAGGCCATGGCAGTGATGCACGCTGGTGGAAGCCCTGCAAAGTGCAGGAGATAAGAGGTGCCATTGCCGCCAGCTGGAGGGATAAACTTTATGTGGATGGCATTCAGTTTGATGGGAGAGGTAGGATGTAGGAATGGCAGTCACTAGCAGCATTATATTTGGTCCCACTGCATCTGTCATGATGGTAATTAATCAAAGGAGCTGCTGTATGCTTGTGTGGTGGAGGCTTTGTGTGTACCCCTCTCTGTGCCCATTTCACGCCCTCACTGAGCCGTGAGCAGCTTCTGTCTTCATTGTATTAATTTGCTGCATGGGAGGAACATGTAGGGTGTTAATGTGATGGATTCGTGTTTTAGCTTTTTCTAGCTTTCAGCTCATGATACTTCAGCAAGCCTCTAATAATAGTGTTTGCACTTGGTATGTGCAGCCAAACCAACAGCCAGGAGTGAATTTGAGATGGAGCTGTGGTGCTTTCCACAGGGATATGGCTTCTTCTATTATTAACAAATACTAGAGCATGTTGGCAGAGTAACAATACTGGTTTCATGTAGGATATGGTTCCACAAAATGTGAATTGAAGGCAGACCTGGTTGCTGCGCTCTGGCCTTCCCCCTTCCCCTTGTGCAGGGATGAATTCCCACCCAGCCAAAGAGCTCGTCATCTGAGACCTCATCAGTTCTTCTGCAGCAGAGGGAGGTTAAAGTCAAACCAGCCCCTTGCATGAGTTTACTACATAAGTTGGACAAAAGCTGGTGCTGGTGCAAAGTGTAAGGCAGGGATGTGCAGGCAGAGAAGGGGGCAGACGGGAAGATGAGCTCTGGTTGCCAAGGGAGCCACATCTTGACACTGGCGTGATCATTGTCAGCAGCTCTTTTTTGCAGTCCTAACAGATAATCATCTTCATACAGTAGGAGTTTTAATCCACAGATCTTTAATTCAGTAGAAAAAGTGACAGCATCTGGTTTGTGTGAAAATTTACTATCAAGGGGTTATCTCAAGTTGTTCTTTTAGATCCTTGCTTCCTCGCCTCTTCTAACGCATCACACTTCTTGAGAAAAGTTTCTTTGCCTTCAAAACACTGTAGAGCTCCATATACTATTTCTCTTTGTTGTCACAACTTGTCTCCAGCAGCCTGAACTGAAATATTAATGGTGTTGTGCTACTGTATTAGGATGATTTTTTCAAAGGAGGAAATACCTGTAATTCTGCTGAAAATTTAGAAAGTATGTACTCTTTTAAAGAAATAGGTATTTAGCACTACCATGTTTCCCATCTTGTCTTCCAAAATGCAGTAATGCACTCATTTTGTAAGAAACAGAAATACTCTCTGTTACAGATACATCTTTCTGATTAAGTGTATTTTTTGCATAAAGAAATGTCTGTGAAAGACTAAATATCTGGATGAATATCTGAACCACTGTATTTTTCTAAAGTATTTCATACTGCTTCATTAGAGAAGTTAGCTATTTTTAGGAATTCTCCCATGCAGAAAAACATGTTAAAAATGAGAATTCGGTGGAACACGTACATCGTTTTTGGGAGGGATGGGGAAATTTTATACAGTACTCATCTGCAGTGCTGATCATTTATATATTTGTCCAAAATCTTAATCTGTCTCTGGGTTTATTTATTTAAAAGGCACAGTAAGTAGCACTGAGGTTCAACTCGGTAAAGTATCAGCCATGTATATTACACCTGGTGGCACAAACATGTCCATGCTGGGGACAATATAGCTAAGCAAAAGAAACCTAACTCTTCCTGGAGAAAAGAAGATACAAATTAAGAAAGACTAATGAAGTTGGAGCTATGGCTTTGTTTTTTTTCTTGGGTTTCTTTTTTAAAGTAACTTCTGCATTTGCAAATCCTTCCTGCTCTGCTGCTTCCCACTTTCTGACATGGCCTGTCTGACTGTGCCCAAAGAGGGGAGAAAGAAGCAATGTAGACATGCAGATAGGTACCACTGTCTACCCTGAGAAGGGTTAGAAGTAAAGAGAAATTTCCTCCTTTCCCAGATTAAGGACACAGCAGTAGTGGCATAGTGATGTGACAGTTTGATGAAAAATTCTTTTTCACTTAACATGGTACCAGGTCAAACTGTTTAACTTCCTTTAGCACACTGATGAGAGTTAGGGCCTATGTGGCAGAAAAAGAATAGTCCAGTGCAATATATCCTTTAGGCTAAATCCCATATTTTTCCTCTTTTTCTTTTAGGTTTCAGCAGAGCAGCACTACCATTTGGTTTGGTTAGGAGGGAGCTCTCCTGTGAAGGCTACTCTATTGACCTTCGGTGTCCGGGAAGCGATGTTATTATGATAGAAAGTGCTAACTATGGACGGACAGATGACAAGATTTGTGATGCTGACCCTTTCCAGATGGAGAACACAGAATGCTTCCTTCCAGACGCCTACAAAATTATGACACAAAGGTAAATATATATAATTTTGAGGACTAAAGAGGAAAAATGCCTGAATTAATACTGTAAGAGGCACATACTGTAAGAAATGATGAGTTGTAGTTGCCAGTTTGCTATTGAGGTAGTATTATTTCTATTTAGTAATATTAGAAGGAAATAAAAGCTACCAGTTGCAATAAGAGAGTTGGTTTGTTGTTTGGTTTTTTTGTTTTTTTTTTTTAATTTATTTTTTAATTCTGTGAGCAAAAGTTAAAAAGCAGAAAGATAGCTTCAAGGAGAATGGACCAATTCACTTATTTGGAGGTTCCCTGTCTCCTTGTCTTTTAGGTGGTCAAACAGCACTCAAAATGTGTCCAAAATGCTGCTACATTTTTCAGTAACTTGTGTGCTTCCTGCCAAAGTTACACATTTCCTATGAATGCAGTAAATCATTGCTGTAGTTCCCACCTGTGAAGTGCATCCAACGGAAAATGCTGGAATGATTAAATGCCAGGATGATTATATGTCATTATACACGTATGTACAAAGTATATATGCATATAAGCACAAGCTGCATTATGTCTTAGTGACAGCGATTGTCGTTCAGAGAAGACGGTCAGAACAGCCAGTAAAAGTGGTTTTAGTACAAAAGGTGCATCAGAACTAAGATTCACAGAAATTCCTGTGCTACGGGCCACATACAGGCAGCAGACACCTAGTACTGACAGCTGTGGAAATGTCATCACAAATCAGTACTGTCATTGTTACTGGCTTAAAATACAAGCCTGAATAAATTCAGGATTGGCGGGAAGTTTTCCTCCCAGTGCATTTTTCCTAGGGTGAGGAGTCTGAACCAAAAGGGGATGGGAATAACCTGGGAGCTTTCCAGTGCATGTATATAGATGTGTCAAATGAAACATACAGGTTGTCCTGCATCCTTTCTCTATTTACTGTGTTCTGTTTGAAAATAGTAGCACTCAGTTAACATATAGTCACAGCTTAAAAATTTCCATTTTGATTTTCCAATTCATTCAAGTTGTCATGAGTATGAATGACTCAACAATTTTTTATCATTTTCATTTGAGTACATGGATGTTCTCTACTTCTGTAGTCAAATACTTGGGCTAGATTTCAGGCTTTAATTTCAAATGCTGGAGGTAAATTAAGGATATCAGACCTTTTATTCTTGTTCTGTGTTCAACCTGTGACTTGTTCTGTCATCAGTAAGGGAAAGGCTCCATTGCTTCGCTAGTAAAAAGGTAATACAACTTCTTTAAATCACGTTTGAATTATCTTTTTGTGGTTCTAGTTCGTTGTTAATTAGATCAAGCCAGATTTCCATTGAGACTGAAGCAGCAGTGTCATCATCCTCTAATCTGTCAACTCCCTTTGAAACCACCTTCAATTGCTTTTGTGAATGTAGTGCCTCTCTGTAGACTTCCTTGTTGTGTAAAATACATGTTGTGTTTTGATCAAAGTCCTCCTTATGTTCACTGCAAATATACAGAGTAAGGTAGTCAGAGACAAATACAGAGGCACAATCTTGCTTAAAGTGACATCAAACTGTTACTGGAAAGTTGAAATTTCAACCCTCCCCCTTCAATTAATAAACTGTAAGTTTGTGATAGCAGAGTATTTTTGGACTTCCCAGTCTTTCACTTCTATCCTTTTTTCAACAGATTAAAATGAAGTTGTGATCACATATATGGCATTTGTTCAGAATATCTACACTTAGAGACAGTTTTTAATTTTTTTGTTTTGTTTTGGTTTTTTTGTTTAAACAAAGATCATTTGACACTTTGCTTTCTATTTTGTCTGGCATTTATAGTTATTTTGAAGTTTACTTTTGTAGTTTTCTATCTCAGATCCTGTCATTAAGTGGAAAAGCTATCTCTTCCCTTGTTTAATCTTTTATCAGAATTGCTTAATTTGTGCTATATTGCAAGCATAGAAGAATGTTGCAAATTTCTTATGAAATATTAAACGGTCTTGTATCTCATTATTTATAACTGCATTGGTGATCATAATTTTTTGTTGTCTAAGGCAAACTGTTGTTTGGTACTCAGCACATGTCCTTGATCTGATACCTAAAAGTATCACATCAGCTGTATTTTGATGGCAGCAATTGCATAGAAAAATCTCACCTGAAGGACTATCAGGTTCATTGGTTTTCTTCGTTGTTTTTTTTTTTTTTAAACTGACTAAAAAAACCCAATCTGTTAGAACATTTGATAACAGGAAAAACTTTCCTTCCATACCTTTAGAAATAAACTGCAGTAGTTTCTACATTGCTACATAAAAATCTTACAGTGTTTGCTTTTGAGGACATGTTTTTGTCACTTCAGTCAGCAGTGTTTTTACCACTATGGTTGACCACTCAATTCAGTTTAGACCAATAGTTAAATGTAGTTACATAGCAGTTATTAAATACTCATCATTCATTTGCAACATTACTCCACAGCTTTTGCACAGCAGCTTACATTTACTGCAGTTACAATGTGAAAACACTAGCTTAATGAGATCAATACTGTGAAATCTGGAGATTGAAAAATAAGATGAGGTTTCCAGTTTAACACAAAGCCATGTAATCATATGCCCTGCTCCTCTTCCAGAGAATTTGAGATACTAGCACACAAACTTTGCCAGTGTCCGCTGATGCATCAGCTCCTTTCTCAGAACAAATTTCTACTTATTTTTTTCTCCCTCCCTTTTCTTTCATTTCTGCAGTTCTCAAAAGATTTTTAACTTAATGCTTTTCTAGGAAGCCTGACTAGAACACTAATGACTTCAATGCTTTACTTTTACTTTTGTAAAGTAGTTATTAAATTTTCAGTCTCTGATTGAAATTACATCCCAATTATTCCAGAATAAAGTCTTTCAGATGTATTTAGATTCCATGTAAACTTCAGACTGGCATGGTTAAAATTAAAGCTTTGAAGAAAGAGACTAGACCTTTAGAAAATCCCTCTCCCCTTGCACACTTCTCTGATAATTAACCCCAGAGTTTGCATACAGTCAAGTTTGAGAGATCCTACCACACGTGAAAGTACAGAAATAAGCTTATTTCTAGAATAGTAGGTGAGGGAGTAGTGTAAGTGGCAGAGGACTCACTTTCAGGCAGTTAGATCTTAAAATAGTCAAACTCCTTGGTGCTCTGCTGCCCTTTAGCAGGGACAAATCTCTGTTTCCTCTTTGTTTAAAAAGAAATTAAATGAACAGGGAAGCAGAAGATGCAAAGCAGCCTGAGGAAATTGCTCGAGTTGGTAGCTCATAAAGTGTGTTTGTGTGGCTGTAGCCAGAAACTGTCACGAGACTTTGAAGCTGATAAGACTAACTAGCACTGCTCTTTATGGGCACAGCAGAGATTTGAAAATTAACATGATAAAATTTACTTAGGACCTAGTCTTAAATCCATTTCCACTGTAAGCAGATCGCAGGTGGATTGCGTGGGTTATATTCAAACTGCCTGCGCATTTATGAGGACTTTCGGCTTCCAGTGTCAACTTCAAAGCCCCGCTCTGCAACTGCAGGTGGATAGACCATAGGCTTTTGTTAGGACAGGCACTTAGGGTTACGCAGACACCACATAGTATTTGAATTTCAGTTTTATTAGCTTAAAATAATAACAGATATTTTAAAGTACTTGTAAATACATACTTAAAATACATTTCAAAGGCAAATGCATATGCGTATGTAATTTTATAGGGAACAATAAACTGCTAAGAAGTGGTTTTGCATGCTGGGACCTTTCTCTTCTGAAATAAAAGTAGACTTTTTTTAGTAGGAATAATTTTTCCTCATCCTAAACTTTTTGTTTAGGAAAAGTTCCCAATTATTTTAAAGATTAGACACCATAACTATGTTTGTGATTCCAGTACTATGCAATTAGATTATATTTTTTGTCTATTTAAATAAATACTTGGGTAGTGTGACAGATAATAATTTTGAATAGAATAATCTTAAATCTTGAGAAACCTATATTTAAAAAATGTCAGGTCCATTACAATCTGTACACCCTATTTTTTGAGTAATTGAGAGTTATAACTATTGGTGGGGCTTGTAGAAAATTAACATTTTGTATTTAAAGAAAATACAGCGTATTAACTCTGAATCTATGGAACTATTTACTTAGACACAAAATTCAAGCATTTACCGTTGACAGCCAAATTAATGTTAACTTCTGAAAGAAAAGAGTTTCTCTCCTAATAAAGGCTAAAATGCCTTGAATTTTTAAACAGGAACTTCTGATCTGTGTTATACTGATAGAATAGTTATGATAATTAAGAGGAAAAATTCAAAATGTTTAAAACTGAAAACTCTGCAGACCATGCAAACATCCATATTAAAAAATATACTCTCACAGTTCATATATTCAGTTTACTTTTGATCTGCAACAGAAAGGAGGTTACATCAATCCTGCACTGAAATGGCCTCAAAATTCTATTTTCATCTGCAATTTATACTGTAATTGTAGCTTTATGTGATCTTTACATCTTCACTAAGCATTTAATCAGTATCATTTTGCTTTTTAAATATGCACAAATAAAGCAAACCTCATTATAAAATGTAAGCATAAGTATAAAAATAGCTATAATAGGTGAACTTGGAGAACAGTAATTTTTTAAAACCCTTCCTTTTTAAAACATTGCTGCAGAAAAGTAAAAGTATTAAAAGAGGAATAAAACCTCTTCAGAAGTGGGTGTTTTTTCTCTTGCACATACCCTGTCCTATCTATAGCGCATGCAACACATGCACTGTCAATTACCATGTCCATCATGACACCAGTGAAGAGTTCATGCTTGGGCTTTTGTTACCATGAACTTTTCTCACATACTCTTAACCTGTTATGTCCATCATCTCTCTGCAAGACAGCTGTGCTTATAGGGAGAGTGTTGAAAATGTAAGCAAAGTGCCTCCTGCCCCACAGAGTGATTAAGGGGAAAGCTGAAGGAAGCAGTGGATCCATTCTTTCCCCTGAGACTTTTATTTTTTTCTTATCCTTCCCAACGGGAGAGTGGAAGAATGGAGATGTT